TTCTGGACGCCGGGCTTGGCTGCTGCTGCTGCTTTGTTTGGCCAAAAATGTTAGCAGAAGTGGAGCAAGTCAAGGTGCCTGAGGCAAGGTTTCTTGCCCCTCGTTCGGCCACGACCACAGCCACGGCCACGGCCACGGCCACGAGGGGGCACTTTCCCTGGGCGGCTGCTGCTCCTTCAGCCTGGCCCATAACTGATCCATGCAGAGCAGAGCGGCCCCAGCAAAGGTCAGCCGGCCCTGTAGCCTGATGCCCAGCCGCCGGCTGAGCCCTGCACAGATGCGTCACCCAGCCCAGCCTGAGACACGCGAGAAGCGTCGCTTATGCCCCAGGGATCTCTGTGCGTGGCTGATGCAGAAATGCATGCAGCAGGTCCAGTGTCAGAGTGAACAGAGGCTGTGGAGGGACAGCACCGGGCCTGTCTAACACCTGCACGGGGGGAGGAGTTCTCCCAGGAGGAGCTGGCCACCCAGCATTCGAATCATCTCCCGGAGTTGGAGAAGAGCAGAGGTCCTGAAATAGAAACCGCAGTGACTCCTTTTCCCAGCCTCCTTTGCATCCGGGGTGTGCACTGACCTAGGCTCAGCCCCTCAGGGGCCCAAGTGCCAGCCAGACTGAGCAGGCAGAAGGCAGCAGAGGGCCAGGGAGCAGCTGTGCCTGTGCAGTAGCAGCCGGCGCTGGAGCGTGGAGGTGCCGCCTGCACGCCCTGGCCCGGGGTAGGGGCGGGTGGCGGTGGAGTCCACTCCCTTGCCCAGACCGTGTCCCCAGGGTGCAGCCTCTGAGCGTGTGTGGGTCCTGGGCCTTTAGATCTCCCTCGCCGACTTTTACATGGATCTGCTTTTTTCTACTTAAAAGTAGTCTTGCTTTCTGCTGCCTGCCATCCAGAATCCTGGCTGGTGGGAGATGCGGTGGCCTGGGTGCACGAGTGAAGGATTTGGAACCGGGAGGGACATGAGTCAAGCCGTGCAGCCGCAGGAGAACGTGTCTGGAGGAGGAGACAGGCGCTGAGCGCAGTTTGCACCTGTCTGGGCCTGCAAGTGGCCAGCGGAACGAATGGAACAAATGGACCCTTCCCTGTCATCAGAGGGTCGGGACCCAGCCAGCGCCCTGCCTGGCCTTTATGTTCTCACTAGTACACAACAGACCGGGCAGAATCCAGTGGCAGTGGCGGCACAATCATTTGGGACCGCTAACTACCCTGGGCAGGGCAGGGCCTCATGCTAAGCCTGGATGGGTGTGTGTGTGTGTGTGTGTGTGTGTGTGTATCTGACTGCCACTGAGGCCTCCTCCCACCTCTCCTCAAATCCAGACCCTGGCCCTGCCCGGGGCTGGCAGGTGGCCTGCAAAACACACCCTGGGGACTGTTCCCCAGGCAGCCCCTTGCAGGCTCCCCACTCTACGGACCTGCGGTGGGTGTCCAGTCAGTGGTGAGGCTGCACCCTGGGCTGGGCCCACGTGGGCAGTCACGTGAGGCTGGAAAGGTGGCAGGCCAGAGACAGGAGGAGCCTGTTGTCCACCCCTGCCCCCAGGCTCGCCTCTGGCAACCGCTGTATGCTTTACCTTTTACCATTCTATAGTTTTATCTTTTCAAGAATGTTCCAGAAGCATCGTCACAGAGTATGTGGGTTTTCTTTCTGTGTTCTTTCCCTTAGCACGATTCTTCGGGGAGACTCACGCAGGTGGGGGTGTGCGTACCCCTCCTTCCTTTGTCCCAGGAAGTATTCCACTGGGCAGGTGCGCCTCCATTTGCTTGTCCACTGGTGGTGGATGGACATCTCGGGTGTGTCCAGCTCGGCTGTGAACTCTCGCCTGCAGATCTTGGGCGACCATCCACTCTCCTTTCTCGGTAAGTTCCTGGGTGGAGTTTCTAGGTGTGTGTGTGTGTGGGGGGGGTATTTGCTTAGCTTCATGAGAGTCTGCTGCTTCCAAGTGGCCATACCACTTCACACTCCCAGCAGCAGCACGAGGCCTCCAGACCCTCTGTGTCCCTATCAACATTTGCTATGGTTCTGGAGTCTGCTTTTGTACTAAATCCTAACGCTATGGGCTTCTCTAAAAACATGTTTAGTTTTTGAAAAAAAAATTGCAGTAAATACTTTGATTTATTCATTTATTAATTTACTTAAGTGAGCCCTTTATGGTTTTCTCTGAACAGATCTTCATGCAAAATGATTTTTCCTAGGTAACGTCTTAGTAATGTTTAAGGCCCCTTCCAGCGGAACGCATTACCAGGGGTCAAACCACATGGCACCAGCAGAGGGCGCACGTCACTCACCGTTAAACTTCAGTCCTCGTGCAAACTCGAAGCTGACGCCAGGGGCGTCGGTCCGCAGAATCGGGCAGAGGTGAGTTTGGTCTTTCCTGGGTGACTTTGTTCCGCAGAGCAGGGCGGGAACCAAGCTGTCCAGGAAGGTGCGAGCTGTCTGCTGCGCAGATGCTCCCCACCGTGTCTGGTGATCAGCCTTCTCCCACCGGAATCGCCCTGCCGTGGCTCCTCTGGCGCAAAGCGCAGAGGGCAGGAGAGGCCTGGGAAGCTGCGGTCCCCTACTCAAATGCGAGGCAGTCAGCATCCGCGCGGCTGCAGGTTCCAATCACCTTGGACTTTAGAGAACTCCCAGGCTGCACGCCCGAATCTCTGGCGGGAAAGACCAGACACCTGCATTTAAAACTCACCAGGATATTCCAGCGTGCAGCTGGGGTCCGCTTTCCCATTGGTCCAGGTGAGTGAGTGCGCCCGGATGGGCTAGGCAGGCGCCCACGGTCACCAAATGTTAGTACAAATAAAATCCGCTGGGGGCAGGAGGGGTTGTTGACCACGTAGATTGCGACGGTTCCTGCTGGGAGAGTCTGATCCAGGGCCAGGAGACACTGACTTCGACCAAGAAGAGCCCGGAAATAGTAGGTGAGGTAAGGGCAGGGCTCCCAGGGTGCACTCGGTGAGCTGAGTTACGGGCAGGGAGACCTGGCCAGGGCAGCGAGTTGGGAGGAGCCGGGGGAAAGGCTTATGCTGTGGCCGGCCAGCTCCCCTCCCTTCCGAGTTCTGCCTCAGGCTGGGGGCCCTGCTGATCTGGGTGTTGCTACAGAGCCTGGAGCTGGCTGGGTGGCCTGTTAGGGTCTTCTCAGCACAGCTGGTCGGCTTGGACCTGCCACCCAGAGCCACAGCCAGTCCCACAGCGTGAGGGCTGCTGGCGGGGCCCCTGCTGCACGCTGGCAGGTGGTGCCACCCGGTCCTCACTCAAGCATTCCCAGGCGGCACACGGGGTCTCAATCTCCTCTGGGGACTGCGAGGGAAGCTGCCTTTCACAGCCTCCACCCCTGTAGCCACACAGGGGAGTCTGGGGTTTGCGCCACGAGGCCACTCCCAGAGACCCTCGAGACGTCGGCTGCTGCGGGCTGAAGGTGCTCCACTGGCTTCCATTCTGGAACATTCACCCGCGCGTCTCTCCTGCCCACCCTGTCTTCCTTCCAGATCTTGTTTTCACAGCTGCACCTTAGGTCTGCTTGCAGTTTGTTCATGCGTGTGTGCATACGTTCACGGAGCAAGTACTGACCGAAGCCCACCCCGTATTGCAGGTGTTGGGGACGTCACAGTGAACGGGGGACAGGGCCCCTGCTCTCACAGAGCTCACCGGTGGGGTGAGACTGTGCTCCCAGGCAGCCATTCAGCTGTCCCCACAAGGCCTCTGATGGGCTGCTGGGGGCTGGACCTGTATCGGGCAGGGGGCACAGGGTCTGGCCCTCACCTGAGAGTGAGCTGCGGGTGGGTTTCTGGAACAGCTGGAGATGATGCCAGACCTGGTGTAGGCCTGTGGCTGGCTCCCTGATGGCTGCTTTCTCCCGGCACCTCCTGGGGCAGGAGGGCCAAGGCGGCTCAGCTGGGCCCTCTTTTCTAAGAGGCTCCACCCTCTTGACCTGACCACCGGCCAAAGGCCCACGTCCCTAAACCACGGCCTCAGGGAAGGTTTCAGGTTTGCATTTAGGGTCGCACCTGTGTCCCAGGGGCCTCTGCTTCCTGAGCACTTTAGGCATTAGTGGGTCCTTATCCTCCATTTCTGGATGGCAGAACAGAGGCGTGGTCTCAGGCAATCAGCCAGGAGGCAGTAGGGTCCGCTGGCTCTGCTGGAGAGCCCTGGGCTATAAGGACAGAGGAGGGGACTTGTGTCAGGGTTCACATGGCAATCTTACAGCTGGGGCTGTAGAAATCTTAATGGAATTGTAACAAGACAGGCGAGGAGGAGGGGGCTCTCACATGCTTGTGGGAGGGTGGGGAGGAGCCTCAGGTCTGGCTCTTGGCTCTCACAGTCTCCCGGTGGGGGAAAGTCTGGAGGGGGTTGATCTAAGGGCTTTCACTATTTCACCTGAAAGTGCAGAGAGCAATGTGGGTAAACTGAGGCTTCTTATTGCGACAGCTGGGGAACCCTCTCTGTCTGGAGGGCCCAGGGCTCCAGCCTGGCCACGCTCAGCCAATGCTCTGGGGACCATCCTAGCACTAGGGAGAAGTGAGAACCCTGCCTGCTGGTAAGGCGATCAGAGCTCATGAATAATGGAGAGAAACGGAGGCCTGGAGTCCTGGGTGCTGGGCTGCCCCCAGGGCCCTCAGGGGCTGTGGGACAGGAGACAGGGGTGCTCCTGGGTAGGGGGCCCCACCTACCCCCTGGGGGGGGTGCCTGGAGGGGTCCCAGGTGGGCAGTGGATGCTGACAGCTCCACATCACCCGGAGTCCAGGTCAGGAGATGGGAGCAGTGGGGCAGGCTGGGGAGGAGGCAGGACAGCCTGCTCCCAGTGCCCATGAATAAGTGATGGAGCCCGAGGAGGGGCAGAGGGGAGGGAGGGGCCGGGGCCAGGGAGCCGGGAGGGGAGGCAGTGAGGGGAAGAGAGCAGCAGTGCTCCAGGACGGGACCCCAGGGAGGCCAGTGGCTGTGACGCAGCGCGAAGTGCCGCCCAGGGAGTGAGGTGCGGGGAGCAGGGCACGGGGCGCTCGCGAGGGGCGGGCCCGGGCCGCAGGCACCATGATGCCCCAGAAGAAGAAGAGGAGAAAGAAGGACATCGACTTTCTGGCACTGTACGAGGAGGAGCTGCTGCACTACGCCTCGGAGGACGACGAGGAGGAGCTGGAGCACGACTACTACAAGGCCAGGGGTGCGACCGGGCCCGGGCGGGCGGGGGCTGCCAGGGCCGGGCCCTCCCTGGGGGCCTCACCCCCTTCCCACTGATGACCACCCCCCCACCCCGCCCCGGGAGTGAGCAGGGCGGGCGTGTGCTCGGGTCCCCATGGCACAAAAGGCCAGGCACCCAGCCCTTCGGCACAGAGTCTGGGCAGGATGGAAGGTGCTGGAAGTGCAGGCCTCCACCTTCTCCACCCCCTGAACATCCCGGGAGCCTCCTACTCCATTGTGTGTCCAGCACAGGCGGCAGCTGCAGCCCACCCCGGCCAGTGAGCAGGGGCCTGGGGCTTTTTGGGAAGATAGGAGAGCACTTGGCCATCTGGGCCCTGGGACTTTGCCCCAGTCTCTTCCTCTGGGATTTGAATGGCTCTGCCTTCTCGACTGGACCAGGCAGGGAACCAATTTTGGCCCGAGGAGGTTTTTGGTTTCCTGAAAGTGTTGTGAATATTTCCTCTGTGAATACCTACAGGTCTCGAACTTTGGTTTTGTTTTATTTGTTTGTTTGTTTGAAAGGCAGAGTGAGGGAGGGAGGAGGAGGAGAGAGAGATATCTTCCACCTGCTAGTTCACTCCCTCAAATACCTGCAACGGTCAGGGCTGGGCCAGGCTGAAGCTGGGAACCCAAACTACATCCGGGTCTCCCACACGGGTTGCAGGGGCCCGAGTTCTTGGGTTGTCTTGTGTTGTTTTCCAAGGCACATTAGCAGGGACTCGAACAGGCACCCTAGGGGATGCCAGGGTCATAAGCAGTGGCTTAACCAGCTATGCCACAAAGCCAGCCCTGAATTTACAGTTCACTCCCTATCACCGTGCTGCCTGCCAGGCCCCCGAAGGCATTTACATTCTCTGCGCTTTCTCCAAAGTGGCTGCTTACAGGAGTGCATCCCGTCACTCACTCACTCATTCAGCAAATGCTCTCTGAATGCCCGCACTGTGCCTGTCTGTCACCCTCTTTCTTCCTTTTCTCATCCCAGCACTGCCCGCACAGCTCTGCTCCTCCCTTTGTGAGTTCCTGCATCAAGTTCAGTGCTTAGTCCAAGGCTGCATGCAGCTTGGTGGTGGTGGTGGTGGGGGGTGGCCTCATGGCCTCAGCCAAACTAAACTCCACGGGGGCCAGGCCCTGCTGTACTTGGCCTTAGTCCCTGCCACCCAGCCCCCAGCACAGACCTGGGCTCAGCTGTGGCCCCAGGAGGGCTGTGACTCAGGGAAGGGCCCTCGCACCAGGTACAGTGTCCTGGGCGTCTCCTGGGGTGGCATTGGGGGCTGTGATGGAGAAAGGGGGATGGCACAAGGGAGGTGGGAGGTGGGGCTGCCTTCTCCCCCACACCTGCTCTAGCCTGTCGTGTGGGGGGAGGGGCAGGCACTCTCACTTCTGGAGTGATTCTCCAGGTGAGAACCTGTCAGAACCTCTCACAGCTGGCGCCCCGCCCACTTCTGTTCTGGGGGACCATGAGGGTCCCCCTCCTTTGTGCCTTCATGAAGCCCTTTCCGTTTCCTTTTTGCATCTGCTTCTCAGCGGCCCTGGGAACACTCAGGGTCACACGATGAGTCCCAATTCTCAGGTTAAGGGCTGAGGCTCCCACATAAAATGGCTTCATAAGGTCCCAACCAGGAGTCAGGAAATGAACTAGAAAAACCCTTCCCAAGCCAAGACCCCACCCCTCCCATTTCATCTCCTAGTGCTGCCCAATATTACAATGCGCTGTGCCTCAGGCCCTACATAGCATTTTATTCACATTAACCACCTCCATCCTCGCAGGAACCCGGAGAGGCAGGTCGGGTTGTAATTATCCTCTTGTTACAGGTGAGGAACCCAAGGCACAGAGAGGCTAAGGGACTTGCCCAAGGTCACACAGCTAGTGAGTAGCAGGGTGGGGGTGTGACTCTAGCACAGTAACAATAGCCGGAGAAGAGCAAGCCCATGTGGGCGCCCCTCTGACACAGAGGCACTGCACAGCGTGGGTGACCCAGTGATGACCACAGCAGTCACCTGTCCATTCTGGAGCAGCCGGTCTCCCACTCCCTTGAGCCCTGAGGGTAGCGTTTCATGGAGCCTTGTGGGGGAGTGTGATGGGGGAGAAGTGGGGACAAGGAGAAAGTCGCACCTCTGGCTGTGCTGCCCCGTTCGCCAGTGGCCAGGGGGAAGACAGCGGCTCCTCCAGGAGTCTTGTCTCCTGCCTGGGGCCCGTGAAGGAAAGACGGCACCTGATGCTGCAGCCTGAGAACAGGAGGGACCTCAGACCCAGCCTGCGCGGGCTGCCAGCCCCTCTCACCTCCCAGCAGGGCCCACCCAGCAGCTCTTGGGATGCAATTTCCCAAGGCCGCCTCCTTGGGGATCTTGTGAGAGGTGGTGAGTGCTGTGGCGATGGTGGGCATTGTGTTGATGGTGATGATGACGAGGTGGGCACCACTCGTGGAATGTGTAACTCTTTATGCAGCTGTGGAAGATCATCTGCAAGATCCCCCGGGGTGGAAAGGCAAGGTCAATGCGTGTGCAGACCGAGGACCTTGTGTCTGACTCACTCCTTGCTTTGGTCCTTGGTGGCAGAAATTACCTTTCTTTAGAGATGAAGACATAGAGGCTTAGTTGAAACCACATAGGCTGTGGTGACAGAGTTGGGATCCTGTGCACATCCTGTGTCCACTTTCCAGTTTTACTGAGGTGTAATTGATTGACAATAAAACACACCTATTTTCAAAGTCCTGTTTGACGCATGTTAGCGCCACGTCATCACAGGTGGATCAGTATGGGTGCTGGGACATCTGTGTTACATGCGAGCATCCATGTCATCCCCAAAGGGTCCCTGTGTCCCCTCCCTGGCGGTTTCCCTACTCCCAACCCCAGGCAGCCTCTCTACCACCTTCTATTAAGATAGATTAAGTCTGCCTTTTCTAGAGTTTCACAAACATGGCGTGTGGAGTATGCAGTGGTTTGTGTCCGGCTGGGAGGTCCATCTGTAATGAAGGTGTCAGCAGCTCATAGCTTTTTACTGCCGAGTACTCACACAAACTAATAGCATGCTGCCTTTTATACATCCATTCACCTGCTGATGGACAGTTGGACTATTTCCAGCTTGGGTCTATTTGGAATACAGCCACTATAAACACTGTGCTTCTAGGTCTTTGTGAGGACACATTTCCACCTCTTCTGGGTCCAACACCTAAAAGTGGACTTTTCAGGCCTTCTGTTACGTGTACTTTTGTCTTTTTAAGAAGTTGTTGCCATTATGGAAAATCATGTGGTCGCTCTGTCTTCTCATTGATTTGTGTGAATCCTTTGTATTGTAGGGTCCTTTGTGAGATACATACATCCCGAGTCTCATCTCATACTCAGTGGCCTTTTCATTATCTTGATGGTCTTAATTTTAATGAAGCCCAATTTATCAGTGGCTTGATGGCTAGCACCTACGTAGGAAGTGGCTGTGTACCCGGGAATCAACAATCGAGGTCATTCCTAATCCCTCTCCTGCACGCCAGACCCCTTCTCTCCACACCAAGCATTCCCAGGCCTCTCTATTGTCTCTCATGCAAGATCTGTGCTGACACCGTGCAGGGCCTGAGCTGGGCTTGTGCCCCTGTTCTCCACTCCCTAATCTGTGAAAGGAAGGCCTGGTATTATGAATGAGGTTGTTTTGAACTCAGAGGAGCCGGGCTGGGTCTGCCTCCTGACTCAAGGGCTTGTGGGGTGCAGCGGGGCTTCCAGGAGGAGGGAGCTCTGGGTTCTCAAAGCCCGTGTCAGATTCCGGCTTTTCTTCTGAGCCTGCAGTGTTTTCTCCTTCCCCTCTCCAGTGTACGAGGTGGTCACAGCCACGGGGGACGTCCGAGGGGCGGGGACAGATGCCAACGTCTTCATCACGATCTTTGGAGAGCACGGGCTCTCTCCCAAGCTCCATCTCACCAGCAAGTGAGTACCCACTGGGCCCTGGGTGGGCCTGGGCCTTTGGTCTGGATTGGTCCAGCTCTGGGAAGGAAGTGTGTCTGACCCAGGCCTGTTGAATGACGTGGGGCTCTGCTACCCACAGACCCCTGAGGACCCAGGGGTTTCCCAGGGACCTCCCGCCAGCCTCTCTGAGCGCCTCTGTTGATTTTGTAAACAACAGTCCTGTGTTTGGATCTCAAAACTTCCAAGAATTCAAATGATCTGTCCCTGGATGTGGGAGCGCGCACACACTCAGGACCAAGGAACCCAAGTCTGGGCGCAGCTTTACCATTCAGTTCTCCATCACTCTGGCCAAATGTCCTCGCATTAAGGCCATGGTTTCCCCATAAACCATCATGGGGAATGTTGGGGAGGTCCTGCGTGGGGAGGAGCCAGGGGCTTAGGACGCCCACTCTGAGGACCCCCCCAGGGGCCGGCACCGTGTCAAACCTGCCGGCCAGCTGTGTGCAGGGCTGCGCGTGCAGCTGTGGGTGTTGACCTGTCCGCCTCGTGTCTTCCACTCTGCGGTAACCACTGAGAGCAGCAACTGCTCTCTTCTCTTGGTTGTTCTCCCCCATGCCACACACATTTGGAGATCCATAGAGACACACACAGCAAAACCTGAGAACGCTTTGGCAGAATCAGTATTAAGGGTGTTAGGGGCGGTGGCAGTGGTCTGGGCCCTGGTTTCTGATTTGTGTTGATGGGGACTGGGAACCAGCTGGCTCTGGGCTCACTGTGGCCCCCATCTCTCCTTCCTCTAGCTCAGCTCCATTGTGTGTCTTAGCCACTGAGGTTCTGAGTAAGATCCTGTTTGGGTCAAGAGTTCCAGAGCCCAGAGACATCTGAAGCCAGCGATGGGCTCTAGCCCCTTCGTGGGGAAGCTGAGACCTAGAGAGGGGACTTGAGCAGTGGAGAGTCGGAGAGCCTTCAGACAGTGAACTTGGTCCTTGACCCGCGTCCTTGGGGCACTGTCCTCCGTCACGTGGTCCCCCGGCCCTGGGGAGGGGGCTATGGGAGACTCCCCTTAAGACCTCCTGGGGCTCCCACTTGGGACTGCTGCGGTTTACCTGCTGACACCTCCAGGGATGGAGGCAGAAGCTCCAGAGGTGGGGGGTCCCCAGGCCAGGGAACCCCTGGACCCTGTGCCCCAGAGGCTGGCCAGGCCTGTGGAAGGTGCTTGGCCTGAATATGGCGTGAGCTCATTGCAGCTGTCGCGAGGCAGGTGTAACGTCCGATTTTGTCCGTTTCTGCAGAACAGGGTACCTGCCTCCTTGTACTGCTTGCCATGCGAGTGACTCGCTTGTGGAAGTCTTTCCCGCCAGTGATATGGGCACGGTAAAGGGGATACATGAAACTCCCAGCCTTCTTGCCATGCATCCACTCCAGAGTGAACTACAGGAGGAAAAGCTGCTAACCCTAGGGTGTTGGCCAGCTGGGCTCTGGACTCCCCGGCCTGTCCTTTTAAAGTTTATTTATTTGAAAGGCAGCGTTACAGTGAGATACATACATACATACATACATATCTTTCACCTGTCACTCCCCAAACACCCACAACAGCCAGGGCTGGGCCACGCTGAAGCCAGGAGCCAGGAACTTCCATCTGGGTCTCCCAAATGGGTAATAGGTACCCAAGTACTTGAGCCACCACCTGCTGCCTCCCAGGGCACACATTAGCAGGAAGCTGGATCAGAGCAGAGGAGCAAGAGCTGGAACCAGGTGCTCTGAAGTGGGAAACGGGTGCCCCAAGTGGCAGCTTAGCCTGCTGTGTCTCAGTGCCCGCCCCCAGCCTGTCCTTTTGAGACAGCAAGTCCCATTTCTCTCTGAGTGCTCTCTGGCTTCCTGCCTTCCCGGCAGCCTGGACCTTCAGAAGCCTTCCCTCTCACCTTTCTCACTGGTCACAGGGGCCACCTTATACAATGTGGTGTCACCCAGGTGTGTCACTGAGTCCTTATCCATGAGTGTGAGGTCCAGCCTTCCCTCTCAGTGGGCAAAGAAGGACCATGACCTAGCATAGGGGTCTAAGGCCCGAGGGGCCAGCAGGGCCTGGAGATGGTCGGCAGCCCAGCCCATGTCGCCGGGCCAGCCCACAGGATAGGGCCAGCACCCCATTACTCTGGGGTGGCTGGCAGGTATCTGCCTATATGTGTGTTATATTGCAGCTGTGGCAGCAGGGCAAGAGGGTTGGACAGAACCCCAGTGTGGCCAGTCTAGAGGGCTCCCCACTGAGGCGGGGCCCAGCTTGGAGTCTCTGCAATGACCCTGGAGGGGTGGATCCAGCTGCGGGCTGTAGGGCATGGGGAGGTCTGTTTGCACCTCCAGGATCTACCCCTCCTCTCTGTGAAGAGGCGGAGCTTGGTCCATACTGGGGGTATCAGGTGACCAGAGAGAGCCTTTTTTTATACGGAGGGCAGGGACCCCCAGGGGTGAGAATATAACAGAGGGGCATGAGCCGGGTCCTCAGAGTGCAGAGGGCGGAGCAACCATGGCACCAGGCTGGGAATGCAGGCCGGGCTGAGGGGCAGGGAAGGGGATGTGGGGAAGGCCGTGCAGGTCTTTCTGGAAAGCTGATCCCAGGAGGCTTGGCTGACCATGGCACCCAAGACCATCTGACCGTGGGGAAGGAGGAGGCTAGAGTCTGGCTGCAGAAAGACCGGGGAAAAATCGACAGAGAGAATTGTGTAGACACGGTCCCTGTTAGTTCAAGATGGAAGGCCTAGGTCTGGGGGGAGTCTTGCTCTCAGGGGAACCCCAGGTTGCTCATGCATCCGAGGTACAGGTGCCAGCTGAGGTTGCCTTGCTCTGTGACACAGAAGTGCAGTCAGCTCGGGCCACTGCCCACTTCTCCCTCTTCCTGGGCTCACATCGCCTCAAGTCTCACTGTCTGCTATAGTGCCTTCCTCTCCACACTGTGGCACCGCACAGCCAAACCCACTGTAACTGGAAATCCTCTTCCTAGCACATGCACACACACACATGCACACACACACATGTACACACACATGCACACACACGTACACACAGTGTTTTCTGGTGTAACCAACTTGACATCAGGGAGAGTCCACATCACAGCAACAAAAACAACTTAAAACCGAATTCTGGACCCCTGAGCCTTAAAATCCTGCGTCTGTCTTCCTTAGACTTTCCCTGGTCCTGCCTCCTCGGCCTCCGGCCGCCCACTCACCCCCCGCTCACCCCCTGCTCCCTCCAGCATCTCCCACATTCTCTCCCTCGCCCCTCGCTTGTGCCTTTTCTCCTTGCTCCAGGACCCTGCCTTCCACTCCCAGATGGCTTCTCAGGATCGTTTCCCCAACACAAAAGGATTCCTGCTCCAAAAGCCCACGTCGTTGGTGTTACAACGTCTACATCCTTTGGTGTACACTCTCTGCCCAGGCAGCAAAGCACAGGACAGGTCAGGGGACCTCCCCCAGGCCACGCCCTCCAGAAGCCAAGGTAGCGGTGCACCGCAGGTGCTCCCCTCCTCCCTTCTTGCTCTCCAGGACCATTCCTGACATGGGGGGGGGGGGGCGCTGCACATTCAGCCATGGCAAAAGGATGGGGTCTCATGTATCTTGTGGAATGCGGTTCTACTGTTGAAAATCCACCGTCTGAGAGTGTCAGACTGCCCGGCATTTTAGCCTGATGGCTCTGCCTGTCGGCTGCTAAAATGCCCCACACAGCCTATAAGGGCTGTCCCAGGCGGGGAGCTCTACATTGCAGTAGGCTTTGTCTGAGGACCCAGCAGGAGTCAGGTGAGGCCCCCGCTTCCATAGGAAACATGCAGAAATCTGAATTTCTTTGATTGTTTAAAACTTGTATTTAAGGATGATTTATTCAAAGGGAGGGGAGGAGAGAGGGAGGGAAGATGGGGTGAGGGGGTGGGATCTTCCATCCACCCACTGGTTTACTCCCCAAATGCCTGCCTGCAACAAAGCCAGGAGCCCAGAACTCCATGTTGGTCTCCCTTGTGGGTGGCAGGGACCCAAGCCACCACTGCTCCCTCCCAGGGTCTGCAACAGCAGGAGGCTGGAATCAGAAGCAGAGCTAGGACTGGCCCCCAGGCACTCGAGTAAGGGGTGCAGGCATCTCGAGCCACATCTTAACCACTGCAGGAGGCAGTGGACCCAGAAGACCGAGTTTCTGATACATCCTTGGACCAGGGATGCTCTGCCCTTTGCCAGTCCCGTTTTCTGAAACCCAGAGGCATTGGGTGGGACTCACCAGAAGTGGGGGGTGCAGAATCTGACCCCTGAAGTCCTTGGCCTTGGGGACTTCTTGGGGATTATTGCAGCCCCACACCCCGTGAGTGAGGCAGCCCCTGCCCCTCTGAAGAGAGAGACCGCTAGAAGGCCTTCCCTGCCTTCCAAGAAGCATTCGGTCTCCATCCGTGGACACAGCGGAAGCTTCCCACCTCCATGTCCTGTGACCCCCGGAAGTGACTCCGTGTCCTGTGACCCCCGGAAGTACTCTCACTGTGGCTCTACGTCAGGTTCCGTTCATGCCCGGTTGCTCTTCTCTGGCCTCCTCCCTTGCATCTCACCCATTTTCTTATTCTGAGTGACTACATAGCACCGTGCCCGATTATTTAGCAAACACACTGAAATGTGTGTCCGCGTTGAGCCTGGCTACCTCCGGACGCAGCACCTGTTCTCCAGCTTTTGGTCTTGGATGGGGGCTCCCCCCACCCAACTGCAGCCACAGAGCCACTGCGGGACTCCACACAGGGTCTGCCACTGGCCTTCACAGCACCCCTTGGCCTTGGCTTAGAGTGGGATGCTTCTTCCCCTTCTCTCCCCTACATGTCAGCGTTGGCTCTTCCCCCTACAACCCTTCCAAAGAGTCTGTCCCAGGCAGGCCCTGTTGAGTCGGAAACATGGGATTGCAGTTTTTAAAAAGAAACTTACAGAAATAATATGTATTCCTTTTGGAAAATCATTTAGATAAGAACAAATAATCATTTTTCCTAAGTCTTACTGTGCAGACTTGGCATCTTTTTTTTTTTTTTAATTTATTTGACAGGCAGAGTTAGACAATGAGGGAGAGAGACAGAAAGAAAGGTCTTCCTTCCATTGGTTCACTCCCAAACAGCAGCCATGCTGGAGCCACGCCGATCTGAAGCCAGGAGCCCGGTGCCTCCTCCTGGTCTCCCATGCGGGTGCAGGTGCCCAAACACCTGGGCCATCCTCCACTGCCTTCCCAGGCCACAGCAGAGAGCTGGACTGGAAGAGAAGCAACCGGGACTAGAACCCGGTGCTCACATGGGATGCTGGCGCCGCAGGCAGAGGATTAACCAAGTGAGCCACGGCGCTGGCCCCAACTTGGTATCTTTGTATAAAGCCTCCCACTCATTGTTTTCAAGTGAAGATGATGTCTTGTTTTAACTTGCTTTTCTTTCAAAGATTTTATTTGTTTGAAAGGCAGTTTCAGAGAGAGAGAGAGAGAGAGAGAGAGAGAGAGAGAGAGAGAGAATCTTCCATCCATTAGTTCACTCCCCAGATGGTCACGATGGCTGGGCTCAAGCCAGGCTGAAGCCAGGAACCTGGGACTATATCCAGGTCTTCCACGTGGGTGCAGGGCCCCAAGGACTTGGGCCATCTGCTGCTGCTTTCCCAGTGCATTCGCAGGGAGCTGGATCAGAAGTGGAGCAGCTGGAACTTGAACCAGCGCTCATCTGAGATGCTGGCGTTCCGGGTGGTGGCTTAACCTGGCTGGCTGCTTGCTTTTTCTTTAAAGCCTGTGTAGTAACCTGCTTCTGTTTCATTAACTGTCCTATTATAATAGGATTTTTAGTGGCTGCAAAATAGTCTATCAGGTTCTGCTGGTGACTGTTCCTCTGGGTTCTCATCAAATGGGGAAACACTCATCTATTTATTTTAGAAGTCACTTGTCATGTATTGAAACAGAACATGCCTCACGTTCATTTCCCATTCACAGCGATGTGCAGCACTGATGTGCACATGCTTTCCCAGTTACTTCACAGCTGCCACAACTCAGAAGTGACAGCTTGGCGCGTTGTTAGTCTCCCCTGGAAATGGCATTCCCGCAGCAGCAAGACCCCGGGGCCCTGCTCTGCTTTCCTTCCCCCTTTGTGTGCTGGTTCTGGTGTCAGCGTCTCTAGGAAGGGGACACACTGCTGCTTCGTGGAGAAGTCTTCCACCAGGACTGGCCTAGCAGTGGAGCTGACACGTTGGGTGCTGGGCATGGCCTCACTCGCCCTCTTCCTCTGAGGTTGGCACCACCGGAGCCTCAGGTACATGCGGCAAGCCCAGAGCTGTCCTTTTCGTTCCAGAAAAACGCAGAAGATTCTGCCACGGTCTCCCCTTTGTCCTCTGTGCCCACAAAGTACCATTTTCTTTTTTAAAGATTTACTGACTTCCCATGTGGCTGAAATGGCCAGGGCTAGGCCAGACCAAAGCCAGGAACTTCATCTGGGTCTCCCACATGGATGGCAGGGGCCCAACTACTTGGGTCAACTTCTATGTCTTCCCAGGCCCCTTAGCAGCGGCCTGGGTCAGAAGTGGAGCAGCTGGGACTCGAACTGGCACTCAGATGGGATGACGGCATCCCAGGCTGTGGCTTGAGCCACTGTACCACAATGCCTGCTCCCAGACTCAACTTTGGGGCCCCCCTTCCCCATCAAAGTTCCTTAGTGTCCACTTTCTCCTGGTTGCATGAGCTCTGTGTTCTGTTGGGAGGTCTAGGCCCTGCATCTCCTGACGCCCCACCTGGGCAGACTCTTGAAGTGGGTGCATCTGCAGAACCCCGGCTTGAGCCTTCTGTTACTGACTTTGGACCTCATCTTGGTGGGGAAGGACCTGCACCTCCCAATGGCAATGAATAAACAAATGTCTTCTGTGAGCCTCTTTTCCCCCGGGCTGTGTGCTGGGCCCAAGGGTCCTGGCCAAGAGCACTGTGGGGAGGTGTAAGGTGCTAAGGGCTTGGCTCTGGGGAGGGAGGAGCTGCTAGCAGGTCTGGCTTGAATGCCCACACAGAGGATGGAGCCGATGTCAGCGTGAGATTCAGGCTTCCACTCTGCAGAGTTCTGTGGTAAGGCTGGGTCTAAGCAGGTTGAGTCGGTGAGTCTCGACTTGCCTGGTCACCACACTGCTGAACATCTCGGGGGCACTTGCTTCTGTTCACACCATCTGCAGGATGCCAATGTGCCTTCCCTCACCACCCCTGCTTCCCTGGTTGCTGCTTTGGGGCTGAGTGATCCTTTCCTTGTTGGAATGGCAGGACCCTGGACAGCCACCCAAGGACTGCATCCACTTGGGGCTGCCAGGCCACTCTTGCTGGCAAGGTTGGGCATGTGAGGGGGAGAGGCAAGGACGCCTGCATGCCCAGGAGCACCCTAACATTCATCGCATCCTGCTTCTTCCTCCATTTCCCAGCCCAGAGCAACTGGGAGGCAGGCAGTCAAGATTTGGAGAGTCAGGTCCTGGTCCCAGCTCTGTTACCAGCTAACAGTTTACCCATCTGTCAGTGGGGCTGGTGTTCTTCATAATGTTTGCCTTAGTGACGCACAGCAAGGATCAGTTGAGAACCTGGGATGTCAGCAAGGAGTGGCACTCACTGTCCTTGCTTCTTCCCCTCCAAACCAAGTCTGAAAGGGATCTCAGCACAGGAGTGGTTGGGTGTAACTCTTCCCGAGAGTGGGATGATGGAGGAAGAAGAGGATGGCAACCCCTGGCTCTCCTCTCCCTGAGCCCCCGAGCCAAGCGCTGATCTGCCCTAACTGTGCACGTGTCCCTGCAGGAGCGAGTCTGCCTTCGAGAAGGCCAACGTTGATGTGTTCCGGGTGAGAACCAACAACGTGGGCCTCATCTATAAAATCAGGTGAGCAGCGGGCCCCTGAGCAGGGTGCAGGTGGAGATGAGGGCTCGTGTAGGAGGAATTGACTTCACCGCCGACTCTTCCTGGCTGTTCACTGCTCTCCTGGTGACTTTTGTGGGCCCAAAGGCCCAAATCTTTCCCGCCCATTCTGAGTCACGGTGCCTTCAACTTCCCCATTAGAGGCTCACTTCTTGGGTTAAGACAATTCAAGACTTTCACAAACTTGAGGAACTACAATGAGAGACACTGTAGCACAGTGGTTAGGAGCAGAGGGTCCAAGTCCAGATTGCCTGGCACCGAGTGTCTGCTCTGCTGTTTGGTGGCTGTGGGGCTCTAATGCTGGTGGTTCCTCTGTAACAGCCCTGGGAATCACTGCTTGGGACGGTCACTTGCAGGCAGTAAGCTCTCAGCCAGTGTGTGTTGCAGGATGCCTTGGGGCAGAGAGCTCCCCATCTTGTTCTCTCTGGGGGAGTTACCATGCACGTGTGAAGAGGGACAATTGCTGGCTGGCTTTCAGAATAAGAGTTTTAAATCACCCCTCCCCTTTCTCCTTCTCATCTCTGCTACTCATCCCCATTCAGGTTCACGGCCATTTGTCAGAAAGTTAAGGTCATCTGTGCTCTGATTGCATCCAGACTGGGGCGCTGGATGTGCAGAAGGGAGGGGGTTCTGAGCAGAGAAAGGGCTCTTGTAGGGGAGGATTGGGAAGGGGTTGGCAGCTGCTAGCCGAGGTCCTCCTGTGGGCTGGGCTCTAGGCAGGGCAGGGGCTTGCATGTCTGCGAAGGAAGGGCCAGTGCATCAGGCGTGTCACCCAGCCAGGAGGCTGTGCACTGTTCTGAGCTGTGGCCATCCATCAGGACGTGCGAGGGTACAGTCCCGCTGGGCTGGGCAGGGATGATGTAGTCCATGTGGGTGGGGTTTTCTAGGGCCAAGTTCAAGGGTAGAAACTGGACCACAGAGAAGGGGTGAGGGGAGTTGCAGGATAAGGGAGAAGATTTGGGACAGATTTTGAGAAGTCGAGATTCATTGTCACTCAGCATAGCAGCATCTGGCCCCGTGTGGCCACTGCACATCTGAAACATAACTAATCCAAACTGAGAGGTGCTGGATGCATAAAACACACACTGCAGGCCGGCGCCGCGGCTCACTAAGCTAATCCTCCGCCTTGCGGCGCCGGCACACCGGGTTCTAGTCCCGGTCAGGGCGCCGGATTCTGTCCCGGTTGCTCCTCTTCCAGGCCAGCTCTCTGCTGTGGCCAGGGAGTGCAGTGGAGGATGGCCCAAGTGCTTGGGCCCTGCACCCCATGGGAGACCAGGAGAAGCACCTGGCTCCTGGCTTCGGATCAGTGTGGTGCGCCGGCCGCGGCGGCCATTGGAGGGTGAACCAATGACAAAAGGAAGACCTTTCTCTCTGTCTCTCTCTCTCACTGTCCACTCTGCCTGTCAAAAAAAATAATAAATAAATAAATAAAACACACACTGCATAGTCTAGGAAAATGGATGTAAAATGTCATGAATATTCCCGTAGTTATGTGTTGACATGGCAAGTGGAACTAAAGACAGCTTGTTATTAAAATTAATTCCACCAGTTTCATTGTGTCTTTCTCAGTGTGGCTATTAGAAAAATCTAGACTACATCTGAAGTTCACATGGGCATCTGCCATTCTGTTTCTATGGGGCAGCCTTGCTCTGGCTGGCTACAGGGGGTCCCTGGGGTAGCGGGAGGGACTAAGGAGAGCATCTGCCTGTTGTGGGGTCTGCGAATCTCAAAGAGACACACACACTCAACCGGCTTAAAGAGACACACACACTCAACCGGCTCACAGCAATGGGAGGGGAGACTGGAGCTCCATGGGACAAGCCAGGCCCTGCAGGCTGGATGGTCTGGTAGGCTTCTGCTTTCTGTTTATCCCTTGGCTTTACTAACAGCCAGCTGAGCTGTCCTCCTTGACCTTGACTCAGGTGGGCTTCAGGAAGTGGGGTGTGTGTGTGTGTGTGTGTGTCCTAGCAGGATGAGGGGGCAGTGCCTCCAGAGCTAAGGTTCCAAGCCCTGATCAGACAGGACTTGGGAGGACATATCCTGGTGACCCCTTTGCAAGCGCTGGGGATCCTCGTCTTCTGTGACAAACAGTATTTCCTTGCAGGCAGTGTAACAGTGTGATAGTCCTTCATATGCACTCCTGCCTTGCACGGGATCCCCATTTCAAAGACGAGGAAGCTGAGGTTTCAGAGCTGCAGTTAAAACAGGAACATCAACAACACAACGCTGGAGTCTCTGTCTGGAGCAGACCTGCGGGTATTCCAGGGTCCCCTCGGTCCCGCCAGTGATGGTGTGGGTGTCACTTTCTGCCCTAGGATCGAGCATGACAACACGGGCTTGAACGCCAGCTGGTACCTGAACCACGTGATTGTGACCGACATGAAGCGGCCTCACCTCCGCTACTACTTCAACTGCAACAACTGGCTGAGCAAGGTGGAAGGCGACCGCCAGTGGTGCCGTGACCTGCTGGCCAGCTTCAACCCCATGGACATGCCCAGAGGTGAGTGCCGAGGCTGGCCTGCCCTGGTGGGGCTCACCCAGGTGTCTGTCCTGCTCCGGGCAGTGCCCCTCCCATCAGTACCCCTCCAGGATCTTCCTGTTGACTGGGGCTCAGGTGAAGCCCCGTCTTTTCCCTGTGGCCTTTCTGTAAGCAAGCTTATGTGCTCTGTGGGTCAAGGACGTGGGAAATACAAGTGCACTTGGAGGTGTGATGGGGGACAGGTGCAGCCCTGAGCCTCTCCTGTGTTCTCAGTGACTCCTGTGGACAGGTGTTAGCCCCTCTGACGTCAAGGCTGCCTCCCCACCTTCCTGTTCCTTCCACCTTTCTTGTAACATCCGAGTTAGGGTCAGGGCATGGGGGATGGGAATCAAACCAGGAAACCTCCAAAGTTCCGTCATCCTGTCCTCTGTTTTCCTGGCTTTCTAAGAATGAAATGACCTATTTCTACAGCCATCTCTGGCCCAAGGCATTGAATTCAGTTCAGTGGGAAGAGTGGGAGGCCAGGGAATGAGGTATATGATAACACACACTGTTTGCCATGTCTTGTTTTGTCACGCCATTTGTTTGCTAAAATTCTGACGTCACCTCACCCCAGCACTGGACACATTTGCCCTTCCAGAAAGGGAGAGATTTCATGTGGGTACTGTCATCATACCTGATTCTCATAGGGTCATGGGCCATCCGGGGGGCGGGGGAAGAGACTTTGGGGCTGGGAGAAGAGAATCAGTTTCCACAGCCACTCCACAGAACCATGGGAGGCTGACACACATGGACTCCACCTTCCAGCAGGCACCTGTGTTGGATATTCAAGCGTGAAACAGAATATAATTCCATCACATGGAAAAAGAGCATGGGTGACATTTGTGGGCATTCACTTCTAGTCTCCTGTGCACACACAGCTGGAAGGAATGGGCCATTCATTACAGCATCCCGTTTTGTAGCGCGTTTGTGTTAGTGCTCACTGCTCCTGCTTGTGATGGCTGTGTAATGTGTTCTCCAGTATGGAGACACATCACTTACTAAATCCTATATTAGACGTTCATCTGTGTCCCGCCCTCGAATGTTTTCTGTTATAAACGTTACACCTGAGTCTTTGCACAGATTCATGATTGTTTCCGTAAGATACGTTCCAAGTGGGATTTCTAAGTCAAGTGGAATGCACACGGTTAAGGCTTTTGATGGGCATTTCCAAATGACCCGAGGGTGTAGCTGTGCACAGTCCCATCGACTGTTCAAGAGGGGATTTAGATTTAGTGACATCACCTGGTAGTACTAGTTAGCTTTCCAGTTGGGTAGGAAAGGGGGTTTCCAGTGTTCTCTCTTTGGTTTCTGATGAAGTTGAATTCTTTTCACGTGTTTATTGGCAATTTGGGATGTGCGGGTGTGTTTGTATGAGAAAGAGAGAGGGAGGGAGGGAGGGAGAGAGAGAAGGAGGATGAATTGATTGTATCCTTTTCCTGGCTTTTCAACTGGGGTGGATTTTGCAGAGTCTCCAATACAGCCTAAGCACCTGCTCCAGCCTGTTTATCAGGATCTATCCTTCACCGTCTTCCTCTTCTGCTTTTAGGTGTCCCCTTTCTTGGCCTCTTTGCACTTTTCAGATCCTCATGTAACCCTGTTCTGTGGTCCAGGGCTCCATTGTCAGGAGAGGAGCTTCGGAAAAGGCACCATTGAGAAAGGAAGAGTGCAGCTCAGTGATTTTTCCAACTTTCCCTGAGAATCATCCGGAGTCCTGTGTTCTGAGTCAGGCTGCCTAGGCGCCCAGCCCGAGAAGAGCTTTAGGTTTAGATATTTCCAGGTTGGGGACTGGTGTTGTGGCATAGTGGGTAAAGCCACCGCCTGTAACACTAGCATCCCATATGGGTGCCGGTTTGTGTCCAGCTCCTGGTTTCAGCCTCTCCCATTGCTGGTCATTGTGGCCATCTGGGGAGTGAGGCAGTGCTTGCCCCCGGCCTCCTCTCCTCCCCCCTCTCCCTCCTTCCTCCCTCTCTGTAATTCTGATTTTCAAATAAAAAATTAAAAAAAATTCTAAGCTGGGTTCCAGAGAAAGGAATGAAAAAGTCACGTCCAAATATTCAAGTGACTATATTGGTAAAGAAAAAGTTAAGTTTCTTTGCTTTTCACCTGGAATGACAACAACTTGATATTTTGGCTGCCGCTGAGATCATTGATGATAACAGCGGGGCAGATGTGAGTGTCCTCATTCATACAAGTTGATAGGTGGAATGCTTCCGAACTTGGAGCATGGGCAGCAACACAGGGAGGGAAGACTAAGGAAAACCAACCTCCAGCACCCCCACAGGAGAGGCGATTGCTAGGAGGCCAGTCCCTGGGTGCCGGCTGATGACCAGCTGGAAGTTTCTTTCATTCCTGCTCTTCAGGGAAGGTGGCTGTTCTGGGCTGACTGAAACTTTGAAGTGATCAGCAAGTAGTTGTGAGGGTGAAGGGGCCAAGGCATTGGCCAGGTTTCTTTCTTCTTCTTTTTTCTGGATGCTTGGGTGCTGGGGTGCTTGGTTCTCAGCCCCCACCGAGGGGCTGGGTGTTCCTCATGTATTTCTTTCTTTTTTTTTTTTAAAGATTTATTTATTTATTTGAAAATCAGAGTTACACAGAGAGAGAAGGAGAGGCAGAGAGAGAGAGAGAGAGAGAGAGAGAGAGACAAAGAGAGGTCTTCAATCTGCTGGTTCACTCCCCAATTGGCCGCAATGACTGGAGCTGTGCCAATCCAAAGCCAGGAGCCAGGAGCTTCTTCCGGGTCTCTCATGTGGGTGCAGGGGCCCAAGGACTTGGGCCATCTTCTACTGCTTTCCCAGGCCATAGCAGAGAGCTGAATCGGAAGTGGGACTAGAACCGTGCCCATATGGGATACTGGTACTGCAGGCGGTGGCTTTACCTGTTATGCTACAGCGCCAGCCCCTGGCCAGGTTTCTAGATGGTTGCTCTAAAGAGGGTCTTGCGCATCACATTCTAAGACACATCATTAAGGGAGCTTGCCTTGATCTGGGGCTCTAGGGCAGCTGACATGGAGCCTGAATCCACATGGAGGCTACTGCTCCCTCCTGGCACCCCTCAAACGTACTTCCTGGAGAAGCACCCAGCATGTTCCCCATACCTTTGAGGAAAGGGCCTATTGTGGCTGCCCTCTTCCTCAAGGGAGCCCACTGGGGAGAACACGGACATTAGGAAAAGCTGAGAGAGAATATTCCAAAGGAACACGGCTGAGCAGCCTCACGGTTCTGTGGATGGAAGGTCCTAGAACCAAGTTCAATTTCTTAGTCGTTCTCAATGGGCTGGTAAAACTGCTACACCTGACACTTAAGGAACCCAGGCAGCGGCCGGTGCCGCGGCTCACTAGGCTAATCCTCTGCCTAGCGGCGCCGGCACACCGGGTTCTAGTCCCTGTCAGGGCGCCGGATTCTGTCCCGGTTGCCCCTCTTCCAGGCCAGCCCTCTGCTGTGGCCAGGGAGTGCAGTGGAGGATGGCCCAGGTGCTTGGGCCCTGCACCCCATGGGGGACCAGGAGAAGCACCTGGCTCCTGGCTCCTGCCATCTGATCAGCGTGGTGTGCCGGCCGCAGCGCGCTGGCCGTGGCGGCCATTGGAGGGTGAACCAACGGCAAAGGAAGACCTTTCTCTCTGTCTCTCTCTCTCACTGTCCACTCTGCCTGTCAAAAAAAAAAAAAAAAAAAGGAACCAGGCAGCAGGACCGACCAGGACAACTTTGCCTTTTGACTTTCTTTCTGTCTGATCTCCAGGCCTTGGGGACCCGAGACGGGGCCTGGGGAGGCAGATTGTTGTGTCCCTTCGATCCATCTGGGGACCCCAAACCTCAGTCGCTCACATTCCACATTCACAATGGCTGCCTCATTCAAGTTACACTTGGATTATTAGTTAATTTTTCTTCTTTGACTCATATTTTATAGCTTACTTTGTAAGTTTGATTTATATTTTAAAAAAATTGAAAAAAAGATTTATTTATTTGAAAGGCAGAGATAGATATCTTTCCTCCACTGGATCATTCCCTCAATGACTGCAGTAGCCAGGGCTGGGCCAGGCCAAAGCCAGGAACCAGAAACTCCATCTGGGTCTCCCACGAGGGTGCCAGGGACCCAAGTACTCAGGGCATCCTCCACCGCCTTCCCAGTTGTTATCAGCAGGGAACTGGATCAGAAGTGGAGCAGCCAGGACTTGAACTGGTCCCTATATGGGATGCCAGCATTATAAGCAACAGCTTAGCCCAGTGCACCATAATGCCAGCCCCATAAGTTTGCTTTAAAAAGATAACAGCTATCCCTATCACAAAGAGGAACTATTGTCATTTGCTATAAATGTCAGGCATACGAGTGTGTATTAAATGCATGCCATTAGCAACCCATGGGAACTGCCAGCGTCTATGCACATTAGTGCTGCGCAACCTGCCCCGGTAAACTCCACCAGCCCTGCTCTGAGAGGAGGAAGTGCAGAGGCTGGAAGTGGGGCGAGGGCTGGCAGTGGTGTTTGGGCTCTCCTCTTCATCAGTCCTTGTTTCACTTTGTCCTTAGGATACCTCTGTGCAGGGAGTGGCGTGAGGGAGGGCAGGCAGGTCAGTTATACAGAGAAGTAAACTGAGGCCAGGGAGATGGTGACCCTTGCAAAGTCAAATGGCCAGTCGCTGATGGAGTTGAGACTGGAATGAGGGTTTTTTTTTTTTTTTTTTTTTTTTTTTTCTTATTCTTGCTTTCTGCTTGCCTCTTGGGCAGGGCAAGACCAAGGGCAATTAGCGGGCTGACTGAGATCGGAGTCTGAAAGTCGTAGCCTCCTATCATCCTGCCATTCCCTTCCACATCACCCCACCGGTTGCCTCTCCAGTCTCGGTTTGAATTCAGCCTTTCTTGAGTGTTAGAAAGTTCCCAGCTGCCCAGTGCAGCCCATTTCACTGCCGACGGCAGCAAGGGCTGTTGAAGGAGCTTCCGGAGGCTTCTGTTGGTCTGTTCCCATCCTCTCCTGACATGACAGTGTCTGC